ATGTAATATTTATTTTGTCCGAAATTTGAATCGTCTGAAATTTGAATCGGAACGGTACATCAGGTGTGCCACAAGGTAGTGTCTTCGATCCAATGCTGTTTGCTCTTTTCGTGAACGATGATCTGAAGATGTACCGAGTTATCACGACCGTACTCGACTGCCCCGCCCTACAGAACGATATCAACGAACTATTTCTGTGATGTAATGAGAATGGGATGAATGTAAATGTAGGGAAATGAAAGGTGATTTTGTTCATACGTAGGTGTACCATCCACCAATATACATTTGGATCTGTGCCTCTGGAGCGGTATCCCTGATTCGCGACCTTGGAGTAACTATTAATTCAAAGCTGAAGTTCAACGAACATGTTGCGCTCAGCACGGCCAAAGCATTCACGGTTCTCGGATTCATTCGGCGCTATACCTGCACGGGAAAAATCCAATTCCATTTTTACGAATAAAAAATCATGAAACGAAAAAAACTTGCCATCACATGAAATCATAACAATGATTCATCATTTAGTGATGGAAATTCATGATTTCATAATGTAGCGAAATCATGACCGCTACAAGCGTTACCTACCAAACTGTGATCACCGCACTACATAGGTATCTCTTATACGCCTTTTGCCTTCCATCTTATACAATTACTGATAGTCTAGTGATCAAAGTATGGGTTTATCGATCTTAAGGTTCTTGGATCAAATCCAGTCTGATGCTTAATTTTATTATGATTCATGATCTCGGGAATCTTGGGTGCGTTACGCAAACATAGCTCATGATATCATGAATATTATTCATGGTGTATTTTCTTAACATGAAAATACGCTATGTTCATGAAATCATGAGTCATTTTTCTCATTTCGGAGATTGGATTTGTTACCGTGTGTCAGTTCACCGACATAAAGTTACAGCGGATACGCCACCAGCACAGACACAACCAGCCAACACAACCAGAGCACCCCAGACACCCATCAACAGCAGCTTCCACAGGCATGACGACACCAACAGCACGCGGCCGGATGCAACGCAAGCATCTTCACGCTAAGCAACATCGACGTTTACAGGAGCAACACGTTGTTCAGAATTTCCAGGCTACTAGCTTAGTCAGCAGATATAATTTTAATATAGGACCAGATAGGGTTTTAGTCAGTTAGTGATTGAGATTGAGAAGTGTTGGAATAAGCATTGATTAATGTAATTTGGTGGTTTAGTAAATAAATGTAGTGAGTAGTGAGTAGAACTGTTTTTAAAACCTCGACAACGACGTCACAGTGATTATTATATATGCCCAGAAAACTTTGTTTTGCGCTCTAGTTCATAGTATTTTGGAATACGCGGCTTCCGTTTGGGAACCTCATGACGCATTGCTAATCATCAGAGTCGAAAGGATTCAAAAACTCAAGGGGTTAGCACATTGTGCTGAAATTAGCACAACTTGGGCACATACATCGGCACACCTTCAGCACACCGTCAGCATACCTTCGGCACAATCTCGTAGGTATTGGATTGTTGTAAATAAAGTGGGAGCACTGCTAGATAACTGTCATTGGAGTTGTTCACAACATTACGTGCTGTTTGACTGTATATTAAGGACCATCCTCTGATTGAATATACCAGAGGAACTCAGACGAGCAGTTCACTTATAGATCTAAATACGAAATGTAGGTTCTAGAGTGAGCTCGGCGGGATTTTTCTGAGGCATAAAAATCTCTGGTCACGTCTTCCTTCGGAAGGGATGTAAAGCCGTTGGTCCCGGTCCATGTGTGTTGTGAATGGGTGCGATATCCTACGCAGATGTGGAAGCTGCCTTCCTGCACATTCGATTGCCGTCAATGGATCGCAATCGATGTCCGTCGGTGATTGGCACTAGATTGCGGAACAGAGACCGACGTTAAATAAAAGAAAGAAAGAACTTGTTTACTTCGAGTAAACAACATGGATTTGTTAAAGGTCAATCTACAGCTACTAATTTGATACATTTTGTAACATATGGTTTAAATGCTAGGTTTTAATACCAGGCTACTGCAATGGATCGAGTCATACTTGTCAAGGAGAACGCAAAGAGTAAAATTTGGAGGAAAATTGTCGCCTGTCGTTCATGCGATGCCACAAGGTTCGCATCTTGGTCCACTATTATTCATTTTATTTGTCAGTGATATAGAGTACATTTTGAAGATGTTTCATGTTTCAATATATGCATACGATATGAAACTTTTCATGGAAATATCTAAAGTATCTGAGATTATTAGCTATTTAAGCAAGAAGTTGAAATTTTTTAGACTTGGTGTAAGAAGAATTTGTTAGAACTTAACGTTAGTAAAATTAATTCTATATAATTTACAAGAAAGCATGCCATAGTAAATCACACAATTTCCATTGGTGAGAAAACAGTTGAAAGGTGTAATCAAGTAAGGGACCTAGGCATTATTCTCGACTCTAAGTTGTTATTTGTTGATCATTACAATAACTTTATATGTAAAGAAAGTAACGTGCTAGGGTTCATCAAAAAAATTAGTCTGCACTTCAATGATTCTTACACTATCAAATCATTGTATGTGCCCTGTGTGAGACCTCTACTTGAATACTGTAGCGTAGTGTGGGCTCCGTATCAGGATACATACATAAACCGCATTGAGTTCAAAAACTGTTTTTGTTGTTTGCCCTTCGAAAATTAGGTTGGACGAGATAACCACTTCCATCTTATGAATCGCGATGTTTGGTAATAAATTTAGATGAACTTAAAAAAAACGAAGAGACTTCGCCATGGTAATATTTATAAATGATGTTATTGCTCAAAGAGTTAACATTCCGGAAATTTTAGAAAATATAAATTTGTATGCTCCCACTTGTACTCTGAGGATTGGGAATTTGTTTTACATTGACAGTCAAAGAACAGGCTATGCTAGAACTGGGCTTGTTAATAGAATTACGTCCTGCTATAATGCATATTCTCAATCAATTGATGTAACAGTGAATAAAATATCACTTAAAAAAAAAAGGATTCTTTTCAAGATTAGCCAGGCAATAATATATAAGGCGTAGTTAATAAGCATTCATTGTAATTGGTCTACGATTGATTGACGACATAAATAAATAAATTTGTTGATGCTAAAAGATGAGGAGGTATCATGCTTTAGAAGTAAGCTACTCAAAAAGGGTTTTCCCTGCTCCGAATAAAGATAAAGATTAAGAACCTTTTTGCAGCAACATCAAGTTACACTAAACAAATTGAACGTATTCCTTTCCGTTTCTACTGCAAACAGCTAAACATTTATTCCAACAAGTTTTTATAAGCCGTTCCCTTTGTTCTCGATATTAATATTATTCCCGCATTCATTACATGTCCAGTTCAGTATTTTTGATATCAAAATCCATATTCCATTCGATGAGTATAGCGCTTCTCACAGCACAAACCTAAAATGAATGCAAGGCTTCGATCAAATTGCCTCTAGTGACCACTAGCAGAAAAATGGACTTATAAGGTTTTTCAAACAAACGAATATTTTGAACCCAAATTTAAAGAGGTAAAAAAGTCGTTTTCGATAAAAATCTGACTTATGCTGTTCCTCAAATAAACGATTCTATTAAAAACCACCTAACAACGTTGTAAAAACCCATCTAGAGACCAATTTTCAACAAACGATGACCAGAAATATCAATAAAATAGGCTCTTAATAGCAAAGAAAGCCTCAAAACGCTAAATGGAATTGATAAAATCGCCCTGAAAACCAAAAAGGCCTCACAATCGCTAAACAAGATTAAAATTATCAAAATTACTTCAAAACACTAAAACGGCCCAGGATTGCATTACAAATTACAACCTGAAAATGACAACCCCAAAATCAAACAAATTCGGCATGCAATTTAAATAACAAACCTACTATCAAGTTGTCTGAATTTCTGCAACCCACCTGAGGGCAGCCATAGATTGAAAATCGCTGTTCTAGATAGCCCTTTTCGACCATTTTTTCCCCCCAGATACACCCTTGTCTGACCGCTTGCAAGTTACTACTTTCCGCATGGTGTCCTGTCTCCACCCTCAGTACCCACAGACGACGACGACGACGACGACGCCGTGATACGAAAACCATCAACTAGGAACGAAAACTTTACGGGAAAGAAAAATAGCCACCCAAAAGTGTCACACTCCAAACTGTTGATGTTAATGATTTCCCGCGCTTGCCGACTGGAAATGATACACTTTCTCTCCCCTCCCCCCTCCCACACGTCCCCTCAGCCCTGCTCCACCGCAACCTCAAACAGAGGAAAAGCGAATCTTTTCATTAAAAAGTTCAACACGAAAAGATCCGCAGCATATCGCTAGTAAGCTTCACACACACACATAGAAGAGAGAAAAAAAGATCCAAAGACCAAATCGAATTCGAAGAAGAAAAATCGGAATCCCATCCCAAACTGGCCAAGGCAGATGACAATTTATTTCCATTAATCTTTCTCTGATAAACTTTTTTTTCTGCTTTTGCTTGTCGAATGATTTCCTGTGCTGGGTGGGAAATGAATCAGGATTAGCCGGGGCACTTTGAGCAACAACTTTCGGGGTTTGGCGTTGACAGTAAATGAATAAATTAATTGGCAGAATTTTTCACTTCCATTGAGGATGGTTGAAAAAAAAGGAAAGTTTTTCCAGGCTGCCGGTGAAAGGGAATAAATTGTGATTTATCGCCAATTTGTATGGACCTTGCAAAGTTCGATAAACATACAAACATGGATTTGCTAATTGGAATGTGTGTTGCTACGATTGACGCTCGGAGAAGGCACGAGTCGAGTCAGCCATGTTGTCGTTAATCAACAAATGTGCTATCATACTGCCAGATAAGGCGAAATCGTCACACCAATACCAGCGAAACCGTTATCTGATGATTGTGAAAACGATTGAGGTTGGATAGTGAGTGAGTCACGCACTTGCTATAGAATTCTTAGAAATCGGATTCAAATTCTTGTGAATCAAAGTGATGATGCATCGGTCCAGACAGTACTTACCCAGGAAACGATGTTGAAACAGAACAAGGTGTACTTGATGGCAGCGATTCGGTTGGCCAACTTGGCCACACTTTCGCCCTTACCCTCTCCTCGGGCCATTGTCACTCAATATGCTTGTCTCTGAGCTTACACTTCTTCACTACAAATCCACTGCTTTCGGAAAATTCAATCGGAATTTCCCGGCAAATCACTGCCAATGATCGCAGAATACGACTGAATTCTTTGATTTTCAAAAAATATTTCGAAATAATCACACAATCACACTCACCCACTCACTCACTTATATGTAACAGGGGATCCGGGGGAGGGCGCGAAACTATCGAATGCCGACTGATGGGTTCGGGGGACTACGAGAAACTGAACGGTTCACCTGTTCATTCATCCACCCGAGGCCTTGCCCAGCCAACAGCATAGATAACACGATCCGTTAAACGGTACGATTGCTTGAATTACTGATAAGAAAGCATAGCTACTATGTGGGTACGCTCGGTGCTAGATATCCAGAAGTATCGCACCTCGCCCGTCGTCACCCAACCGAAGCTGTTGATAAGAAATCTGATCGAGTGAACTGCATTTGAGGTTTGAGACGGCCGCATTTTCGAATGGTCTGTCATTTCGTAACCTTGTGAGTTTAACGGTTATATTTGCGTTCGCGCATGCCATTCACGGTGCGACTGATAAGGGTGCTTGGCTGGGTGGGAAAGTGATGATTGTTTGGTTGTGTTTGTGTTTTGTTTGCTTATCTTACGTGATAATTTTGAGTCATAAAGGGGAAACAACTTGTCGAGAGGTTGTGTTCAAGCAACAAGTTCTGAAAATCAGTTACAGATGGAGCTCATCGCAGGATTGGTGAATTCTCACGGGCTCTCGTTGTGTGTAACAATATGCAGGTATTACCGTTTAGCTGATACGATCCAGCGTCCACAAATCGTACATGTAGGCACTACCGCTTTGAGTTTTCTAGGGTGTTAATCTCGGGCACTATTGAGATTACAGGCATTAAATTAGCATAAACATATTTGCTGCGTCGCAGTAAACATGGGGAAGCAGTTTTGCTATTGTTTGTTTTCCGGTAGCAGATAATTGAAATATCATATGAAAATACCAAGTGGCACCAGAGCCCGGGTTTCTAGATCCTATAGCCATAAATCATACTTTCGGAAACCATTCCAACGTTAATAATTTCAGATTGATACGGATTTAACTACAGTAGTGGCGCATTCAGAATTTCCACCCAAGGAATTATTTACTGCTAATTTCACCAAAAGTCCCGCTTCTTAATTCTAGGGAAGCTTGTTAGATTTCCTGTGAAAAAGATAAAAAAAGGCATGCTCAATAAACATCTATAAAGTTAGCCCGTATCGGCCAGGAAACCATTCCCGGGAAATTGAATCTATGCAGGACTATCAAGAAAATAAAATAAAATTCATGTGGAATATGATGGAATCTTTTTGAAGAGGTTAGAAAGTACTTCTAGAGAAGCCAGAAAAAAACTCCAGGAGAAAGTTTGGAGAAACTTCCAGAGGAATGAATGATGATGATGATGATGGTCTCACCGCTTACTCCTACAAAGGTTTGAGCTGGTCGATTTATCTTTAAGATTATTAAGTGGGGTTAACTACCCCATTTCTGGCCTATTAAGCACAATCCGCTCTTTGTTTTTTTCCTTATCTAGCGTAGTTTAGCACTAAACGGAATTTTATAATTACAGAAGGCTTTCAAATGTATTTACCTTTCCATGTGTACCGTTAGTTTTGATAAGGGGTCGCAAAATATTCGTTTATTGTTGAAAATGCACAACTGTTTCTGGCGATTCAACTTGATCTAAGAGTTTTCTGGGATCAACGCCACTGGGATTCTCTTTGGCCTATCGAACGTAAAGAAAAGTGAATTCGCGTGCACCTTTGTACACTACAATTGCACCTTTTGTTTTCGAAATCTTATTTTGCATTCTTCAACACTTCGTCTGAGGATTGATTTGAATAGAAGCATCGTACCAAACGTTTGTTTAACACGATCACGCCGAAATCATAGATATATTTGATGTTTTGTGCTTGATAGGCCGGGAATGGGCGATTAGGCCGAAGTAGATTTTTCCCCTATAGCATCTTAACCCGATTAGCAAGCAAAAACGAACTGGTTACAGCTACAAATATAAATTTCCTCTGCAGTTTACAGTTGCTTCACAGCGATATAAATATGATGAGGCTCAGGTGCCCAAGTAGCAATTCTAGGTTCTTTAGACCATGATTTAGATTTGTAGAATGCTATAAAATCTCAATAAAACTTGCACTGTTACTTGGACGTTCAGCTGTTTGTTCACTTTTTTCTTTACCTAAAATATTCTCAAGCATTCCCAGCGATCAAGAGTAAACAACAAAGCATCCATTAACACAAGCAACCTCACAATCTGATGTTATCTTAGTTTTCAGCAATGTCATGAATGCTCACGATCTCCCGACAATCTACATATCATATTTTTTTTTAAACTATCGAATAAAATGGTTCATCAAAATGCTTGGTTTGGCTGAATGGTTCTCAGAATGCTATTAAATCTAGCCAACAGGTAGAGTTTATGATCATATGAATGAAAAAATTTTGGGTGGCCGATTTTCCCGGAAAACTTTGGTAGAAGCTTCTGGATTTTCCCGGACATCACGTTCTTTGAAAACCAAGCATTTTAGATCATTGCAAAACATAGTAATATGATAATTAAATTATCACCACAATCCATACCTAATATTATCTTAATTTATGTTTCCCACAATAATTTTCACGGTGGAGGAAGATCACATAGAAAATTAGGAAACATTATGTTTTGAGTAATGCAAAAGTTTTCAACTATTGTTTTCATGCTCCAAATACTATTTTTTACTGAAAAATATTTCAAAACAGTGTATCATACCGTTTCTGAGTTACGAACACAGTACAAAATGCCAGAAAAAAATTTAATTCATTTTTTTCAATTTTCCTGAATTTTGAGCATCGAGCTATCGAGCACAAAACATACTTCAAAAATTTTAAATATACCACTCAGAAATTTTCACGAGAGAAAAATGAGAAGCTGATATTTTCTCAAATCGTTTAACAAATGTTGTGGAAAACATTTTTCACATTATGTTCTATGTGTATTGCTGCAATAATTTTCTAATGATTTTACTTAACAAGTTTGATTTTGCGATATTTGGTTCATGCGTTATTGATTTTTAAACTATTTGAGGTCCGGGAAAATCGGAATTGAGAAAGCAGTACAACGATTTTAGGCAGTAGCTACCCGTGAAGTCTTTGGCAATCCTGAAGATAAACCTTAGAATTCTGGAACCTTCGACGGCATTCGAGATGTGTTGCTTGAAAGGGAGTTTTGTATCCAGAATTACACCTGGGTCCTTAATTTGGCTGACGCGCTCAATTTCAGTGCCTAACAAAACATACTTGGTGTTACCGCTAGGCAATTAATTTAAAACCAAAACCATAAGATAACCACATAATTGCATCTCGTTTGCATAGCTCTAGCTGACGTTGATACCAAGGCCAAGAATATGAAATAAAAAGTAGGGCGAGAGCTCGTTTTACATAATCTAACTGCAGTATTTACTTAGGAACGTTTCTGCGTTCAAGTGGGATAAACACGCCCACGCATGGCATGCTTGCGCATCTAGGTTAAGTTTAGCTTTCCTCTCTCTGTTTATCCTTGACGAAGGATATAATTATAATGGTTAAACGTTACAAATGTCACATTCTTATTTGGAGAGCCATATCAGATCTGAGTTACAAAAATAAATAAACTTACAAGATATCTGAGAAATCCCAGATCTGAGAGGGCATAGTATATAAGGTCTAAACAACACAACTTTACCCCTTCAAGGGTGATCGGAATCCTAGCTAATTAGAATAGTCAAATTAGGTTAAAGTTCGGTATTGAAAGTGATATTTTAAACCCTGGACAAATCATGTAAAAGTTTTACATAATTATAAGTTGCTAATGCAACACATAGCCGTAAGATCACTTTGTACAATTTTGTTGAATAAAACCAAGTTTCGTAGGTTACTCCAGATTCTTCTCTTTTTGAATCCAAAAGAACTTTCGGCCTAGAAGTAAAAACTTCTTTCCTTAACCGGAGAAAAAAGTAGCTCCTAGAATCGAGAAACAGTGTCTGACCTAGTAAGCGAAAGACTCTCCCTAACCGGAGTAGAAAGTAGCTTTTGGCGGCGACACTTGGACATAATTCAGTATTTTACGAGCGTTCATTGCCGCCACAATCTGGTTGAGTTTCTGGTAGGGAACATAGGATTTGAAGTTTGGCTTATGTCGTTTGATCTGTAAACGGTCAAATTTGATCGTTTATATGTACGTCAAACGATATAACCCAAACATCAAACCGAATGTTCCCTACCAGAAACTCAGAAAGATTGTGGCGGCCATCAGCTCTCGTAAAATGCTGGATAATCTCTTTCTTGCGCGAAAAAGAGATAACCGAGCATTTGCACGGGTTAACCTCGACACGAATTAGAATACACTAATCACCAAAAGTTCTAATCACGTTAAAGGAAGCAACAGTCTTCAATTGAGTGAATTGGAAGGAAGAGTCATCTGCGTAAGATAATCGTGGTCCCTCAATTACCAGATTCACGTCGTTGAAATAAATTAGGAAAATCAGCGGTCCCAGGTGACTACCCTGGGGTATGCCGGATGTGGCAGCGAACGTACGGGAGTGGTGATCACCAATGACAACAGTAAGATAGCGATCGGTGAGGTACGACTGAAACCATAGCAAAAGGCAGTCGTGGATACCAAGCCTGTCCAGATTTGCGATTAATATGCGGTGATTCAATTTATCGAAGGCTGCATATAAGTCAGTATTAATGACATCCATCTGAGCACGATCCGACATACTGTTAAATATGTAGGAAGTAAGGCACAGTGATCTAGCAACGGTTCCATAACAACGAATTTAGCAACAGCGCTAAGCAAAGTGATGCCACGGTAGTTGCCAACGTCCTGTTTGTTGCCCTTCTTGTGTACTGGGAAAATGTGCGCTAGCTTCCAACAGGATGAGCAAACACCGACGTCCCGGGCGTTGAACAATAAATGAAAATAATACATAATTATTGAAATGATGTCATTAATACAAAACAATCCATCCAAGATAACTAATTTGTTATTCATAACAAAATATCCGCTTATAAAGACAACTTCAACAGTGTCTTTTAACTTCTTTAATGGCGGTAAGCTCCAACTCGGATTAACTTCTAAAAGCAACCGACTCTGTTTGGATGATCTACAAAATGTTTGCTTGAAGTCGTATTGATTAGCTCTGATGTAGACTTCATAGCAGCTGGACATTCTTGATCTGGATTTAATC